TACCGTTTTTGCTTTATTTTACTTTGTATTTGAGGGCAATTTTTCAAATACAAGCCCCCCAGCGGGCTTCTATTTAAAGGGGCGATTTAACGGAGGGTTTTTTGTGTTACCGGTTAGGGGGCCTTATATTTGGTGGGGCTTATTTTCGGAATTTTACGGTAGTTGTTTTTACTCACATCGTCTTGTTAAAAAGGTCTTTGCATGATGAAACTGTGTAACAAAATAAGAGAAAGTGAGATATGAATAGAGTTGCTAACGTGCGAGTTATAGTACTAGTCACCGCGGTAAAACGTCTTAGCTGTTTTATTTTGTAGGGATTACATTCACCAGTAAGAAGAAACATGGGCAAGGATTTTTTAAATAACTACTTAAAGTAAAAATATTTTCTTTTTTGAATTCGTAAAATGTTTACTCCTTAATTTGATAAAGCTTTGCGCCCGAGTAATCTAGCGAATCTTATGCTGGCCAAATTGCTCCGACCACAACGTAACACCAGTTTCAGTTTTTTCCTATACTATTCAAAACGGAGTCCCGTTTAGTAAGAAGGAAAATAGGTCTTAAGCATGCAACCAGGCCTCGAGAAGGTCGAAAAGACAAATTCTTTTATGAACAAGAAAACATTTTTGAAGGAGTATGACACCCTCGTCAACACTCTCCGCGTCATCACTCTCGTCACTCTCTCGAAACTACTCTATCTGCCAACTTACCTGGCTCACAATTCTTTCCATCTCCATAATAACCCGGATGACAAGTGCAGTGGTACTGCCTCCCTTGGTATTACTGCAGTAAGCATTGGCACCGCACTCGTGGGTATTTTTTGCACATTCGTCAATGTCTATAAAACAGTTTATGGTCAATCCATGGTTATATTTATAAAACGAATAACTCACGAGAACTGAATGGTTGGCTGAAATCTTTTGATGTAGACAAATCTAATTAAGTTTCTTATTTCAGAAAATAGGAAGCCAGAGGACTCAGGTTGAAAATGGCAACATCCCATTGGACTTATAAACGTACCCACAAGAAAATTGGACCCACAGATCCCTATTCTTGATAATAAACAAAACGAAACCACTCAAAAAAGCGGTGTATCGAAACGAAAAACAAAAGGAAAACATATAATTTAAAAAATTGACGTCCCAAACTTGGAACCCTCTTGATAAAGGACGCGCCCCCTCCCTTCTTGCCTCTTTTCTTCCGCCCGATCTACTTGCGCTTTTTGCCTCTTTTTCCCAGAGCTGATCTTGTTCAAAGTTAACTTTTTTTTCCGGAATCAAAGTGAATACACCAATCCATGCTTTAACCCGTCAAGTCAGTTTTACTGGACAAAGATTTTGTTTTGATATCGACTTTATAATAAAGCTTCAAAGGCCAACCTCACTAGCTACTCAAAAACTAACAGAAGTGTTTGTATCATAAGACATATTTAAAGAGCCGCCCGGTCTTGTTAAAAGGAGGCCAAGGGAGACAGTGGTACCGTTTCACCTTCAGACGTCTAAGATAGGAGCCTACTTAAAATAAATAGGTGCAGCTGTTAGTGGCTTCTTTAATAAGCAATGCCATATGTGTCTGAGTTTGTTGTTATTTCTCGCTCTTGCCCGAGAGGTTTTCTCCGTTTACTCCCTTCGGTCAGGTCAGTCCTTTCCTCTCTCCTCACCGAAATAAAAACATTTTTAAATTCCAATTCGATCTGGAATGTGGTCGGCGAAGACCCCGGCCGTTAAAGGTCACTAAAGTCATATTTATTATACCCTGGTCCCAGAGGTTTTTCTTGATTTTTCTTCGCGAAAGAGATCAACAGCAAGCCGCGAAGCGGCGACAACGAGTCGCGTAAGCGACGAGGAGAGAGAGAAAAACCTCTGGTTACCTTGGCCTCGAATCTCACTTTCATGCAGACGACAGCTGTCAAACGCGTCAAATTGCTAATAAAAAGAGTGACCAATGGCAACTTAGCAAACACGTGCTTATCGACCGCAATTTTTTTAAGTGGGGGTAGACCTGGGAAAATTATGTTATGAACAAACCATCTTCACTTGGGTGGTAAAGAGTGATTTGTTAATCGGGGTCAAGCTAAAGCATGTGTTAACGATGGGCGACAAGAGTCCAGGAATAAGAAGACCACTTTATAAAGAAACCGACATTGTTCCAAACGAATGCTGCAGGATTTGCGGAATTTATTTGGGTATGATAACAAGGATTTTTCACAAACATTGTCATCTGTTCTGTCGGCAGTGTGCCAGCGGGAAGTTGTAAAGTTTGCAAGAATCTATCCATCGCGCTTATTACATTGTTTACTTCTGCGGGGCGCGCCGTTCGCGTCGATTCGCGGGCATTCCCCTAAAAATAGTAATATTAATATGTATTCTGGCAATCTGGCTCGCATTTTGGTTTGGTGGCTCCATTTCCTTTTTTTGTGGAACAGCGACGCTAGGAAGAGTCATGCAGCACAACAAACCCTTAAGGTTCGGAATGTACTTTCAGAGGTTTTTGTTGGCCCAATAGACCTATTCGGCTAACTCAATGTACCCAATTCAAACCCTTTGGGAATAAAACGTTTTGTTTCAGGAATTTCCATATCATTTAAATGTGAATGCCACATTATAATGCAAATGCAATACACAAAGAATCTTATCCCCGGGGAGATTTGAATTGGGTACAACATTGAGCGTCGGTTAGATCTTTTTGGGCGTCGCAGGAAAATCAAGCTGCACCGAAAATGATTACGCACTTGTACAAAGTTGTATGTTTTTTTTTCCTACAAGGAAACTTTCATTCCGTATTCGGAGATTTTTTATTTTGCTGCCCTAAACAAGTTAGTTTATTTAATGGAATGACAGTATTGTAACAGAAAATATACTTTCCATGTCCGGTTGATAAAATGGTGAACACATCCTTTCGACTCAACGCAGCGAACAAAGCTTTCTTTTGTTGCTCAGTGAGACTCGGGAAAGCGCTCATTAAGTACCGAGGTCAAAATTTCTTCGAATATTCTTTCAGGAACAACATCCATGGCGTGCCTCTACGTGCCTTGGTCCCGTGCAAATGTTATTGCGAGTGCAGCATACAAACAATTTTCTTCCCTTGTAGAGAGAGGCAAAATGAGGTGTGAAAATCCTCAGCGTCCCCTCGGTAGTTACAATTAAACGAGCCAATCAAATTGGTTTGCGCGTTTGAAAAAATATCAACCAATCAACGCCCGAGGGTCAGATCCTGACCCTGTCGTCTGCATGGAAGTGAGATTCGAGGTCAAGGTAACCAGAGGTTTTTCTGTCTCTCCTCGTCGCTTTCGCGACTCGTTGTCGCCGCTTCGCGGTTTGCTCTTGATCTCTTTCGCGAGGAAAAATCAAGAAAAACCTCTGGGACCAGGGTATATTTATTACAGTGCGACCACACGAATTGAGGCCAACCAGACATGAAGAATGAGACAAATTTTGAAATTAGCCAATCACAAGTGTTTTCGAAATCAAGACAATGAAATTGCGCATAATTTTGTACTCAGAGCCAGTTCAAAATAAGTTGCAAACCAGATATTGAAAATAAAGAATCATGATGTTTGTGTAAATCATGTTGAAAAATGTTTTGACAACGCCTGGGTTGGCGGCTCACCAAACATCGCTTTTATTATTCGAAGGAATTTTGTGTTTGTTCTGTCAGTCATCTGGCGGACCTCTTAGGAAACATATGTTCACTTGAGCGGGTTCAAAAGGTCATGATTTGTGATTGGTGGATTTTGATCCGTTTTGTTTGTTTCTTCGTTACTTACTATAGTTTGGGGCAGTCATCGACTAGTTTGCTTCGAAGATTTTTTCTGATCTTTCGTATTTTTGTCACTTCCAAGAATAAAGCAACGTCTGCCTCCTTCCCTCGACAAAAATTTCACTAACCATGGCTATTTCCTTCGCTATTCTTGAGAAGTCTGTTGTCATTCTCAGTTTTGTTGCATATTGTAATTTGCAATAACCTAGCCCATATCTTTGTAATTACCAAGGGGCCGTTTTTCGAAAGTCCGTGTAACTTTTCGGGACCGAAATCAAATACTGAAATCGAAATATAAAGAATAAAAGCGTGGGTCCTGGCTAGCAAACTACTCCATTTTGTTTCATTAACTGATAGTTTTATCTTGTTAGATGCAAAACTATTAAAACCTCGATCTTAATGTAAAAGGCAACAGCTTACCGGGCCCGTTGATTATCGGGACTTTCGAGAAACGGGCCCCAGGGCTGCGATTTACTCAGTGCTGAGCGCCGTTTGCCATGAAATGAGTGGCTGTCACCTTACCTTCGGATTGTTCAAAATTTCTTTACTGCTGGCTTTGATTCTGGCCAACCCAGACGATGTCAAAACATCGTACTCTCTATTCCTCGTTTTTACATCCTTTAAAAAAATTGTACAATTATGCGCAATTTCATTTTTTAGATCTCGACTTGTGATTGGTTAATTTCAATTTTGTTTGGGTGGTCTCGGTTCGTGTGGACGCACTGTAAGTATTTTATTTTATTTTTACTTTCATTCAAAGTAACCACGCTACAAGAACGAGTAAAACTGAATGAAACTCGTAAACGTCGGGATATGTGGCAAAAATCGGTTGAAACCTGGTTGAAACAGCGAATATATTATGTCTTTCACTTTTATATATGATATATTTTTTTTTCTTATTTTTGTTTCTTGTCCACTTCGTCTCCCGCCTTAATTAACTTAAGCTAACTGCGGGTTGTGTGAATTTTTTCCCTCTTCCTTTTCAGTTTACTTTAATTTATTAGTTATAAACTTTTCCATGTGCAATAAATTTGTTGTTGTCTTAAGGGAAAAGATCATTTGGTGCGGCAGCAAATTCTAGCAGGAAAACATGCCGGATTAAATTACCGTTCTCGCAATGCTCCCCTTCAAATCCAACAGTACACAAACACCGGTATCCTTTTCCGGTAAAACCAGTTTGACAGGTTGCTTTGTTCTTGCAAGGTTTATTCCCACAGGCATTCTGGTAAGAGACAAGAAAAAAGGCATTCCTTAATGCTCCTTTTCTTACTCAGGTAGATTAAGGCCTGGGTCCAAGTCATTTATAATTTTTATGTACAGTTTCCAAAAACTATGGTTTTCACGTTGGACGATATATCGTAAAGTAAACTAAACTTAAGAAAACTTGAAAAAATAAATTTCAATTATTTGGTCACGTGATCGACCACGCCCTCCATTGTTCGAAAATTGTAACCATCGATTCCCACAAGTTGCCAAACAACTAGCTCCAGTTTCTCTGTATAAGAACATTGTCTTTACAAAGTGTCTACGAAATCAGCTCGGAATGGTTCGAAGCATTACAATTGGCGGGTGCAATTAGTGTTCTCTGACTTCGACATCGACGGGAGAAAGACGTTTATTAACCTCGTCTCTTTCCGATTGTTTTTACATGAAGACTATTAGTAGCCACTTTTTGAACCTACTGAAGGAAAACGGTTTACCCACTTTCTGATGGGAATTTCAACTCAAAGGATTTCTTGGTAAAACAGGGCGTGGCTAGTCACATGATGCAGTTATAAACAATTTTTAAGATGAAACTGGAAGATTTCTTGGTTATGATTGGCCTTAAATTGCTAGTCATGGGATATCTTGAAAATAGTTTACGTTATACTACGCCCTTTAAAAATTCTGAAAACTCTGTTATGACCCAGGCCTTAATCTACTTGAGTAATTCCTTCGTAGTGAATTACTTTATAATGTTATCCTCTGACTGCCGCAAATATATAGCCAAGCTATATGCGAACAGGGGATGTTTTTAGTCAGTATGCACGTGTAATAAATGTACCAGTCCACTCATGAGGAGAATTCCACTACTAATCAGGACTATCCAGCCCGATCAGTTTATTTCTAAAAGGTTTGCACGGCTATGATGAGTTTTAGTAAAAATTTCGAGAAACGAATATTTCATTTTCAATATGACCGGGGCGGCCGGCCTGTTCTGACCTTTGAAAAGCTCCCTAATCTTAGGGGTTAATTTCACTCTCTATAGACTCTGTCAGAAGATGACACTGTGTATTTCGCTTGATAAAAAAGTGTACCGTTGTTAAAAAAAAATGTACGTGTATGTATGAATTTCATTAATTTTGTAAAGGCATATATGCTTGCTTGCTTAATACTCCCTTAATGGGTACCCTGACTGTAAGCTTATTTCCCTTAACCAGATATTTGAAAATGAGTTTGAGATTGTAACTTTTCCCTATCCGTACACTGTATACTGGGATAAAAGCTCTCATACCCTAGCTTCACAGTATTTATAATCTGGATTTGTCTCCATCTTTTCTTTCCCTTCTTTTAAAGTGGAATTATTCAGCTCACATTTCCTTGTGACTTTGTTAAAGTTGTAACTGACGCAGTTTGGTTCCATGTAGCACAAAGTCCGGCAGGATCTTTCCCCAGCGACGTCAACAGTACGAATAAAGTGATTTTTGAAGCGCCTTCCATCAAAAGTGTGGTCCAACTCTAGCTGGCGACAGGTGTCTGAGAGAATTAAGGAAAAGTTAAATGCAATGACCACTGAAAAAAGGTTGTCGTTCAATACACAACCTATTGTATATGAGGAGATCTTTCTCCGGGCATTCAATTCACAACTTACTTTTTCAGCCTTTAACGAATATCAAAATAATCCCAAGCAACAAACCACTCGAAGGAAACTTCACTCAGTCGCAACGAAACAACCTTATGCCCAAAGAGGGAAATTAAACTTCAAAGAGAAAAACAAGCAGTATCGTTAATTTTTCCTACAGCACTCCAAGTTGCATGGTAGCCAAAAAGTATTTAGTCGGAAGTAGGTCATGACAGTGCCGGCAATATCAGAAAAGATTCCAATGCCAGTTTTTAACTGAGTAATATATAGATTTAGCCAGGGTTAAAAGCGAAGCTCTCACTAATAAATTTGTAACCTAAATCAAACAAAAACTTGTAATCCACAAATAAGTTAACTCTAGGACACCTTTCATGTGACGTTTGAAGGAAAGGCTAAGCGAGTTTAGAGAATAATAATTGAAGGGTGAAACAAATCTCACATCGAGTTAATAGCCTTATATGTACACCCAAAAAAACAGCAACAATCTTCGATTGCATTTAAGAGCCTTGATCACGGTGGAATAGGCCTGAAAAACAAATTCTTGGAAAACAAATCAGGCCCAATTTTTCTGCGTTTGGCAGTTTACTCTAAAATCTTGCCAACAAATCTGATGGCGTGTTACCAGCCTTCTATACTTTTTATAGATCACATCTGAGGTGAAACAGTATACTAGGAGGCGCTGTTTTTACCATACAGACCTCGGACAGAATGCAGTAACGTATTTCACAATTTTACAAGACAAATTGCACCTATTTAATATTCAGGACGATCGAAGTACGCGTGGGCTTTTAGCGAAGCCGTTCAAAAAATTATTTCGAAATCACCTATACGACCAGCCGGTTCCCACTTTTGATAAGCGCCAAGTTTAATTTGCAGTGTGAGCTGTCAAATGTTTGCGCATTAATAGAGTTACGTTTCAACATAATAAAGAACTTATTATGTTTATTTTTTATTTAATGGTTTTATAACCATGTGTACGTTAAACTGAGCGTTTGACACGCGCAGCATTTTGAGTACTCCTGAAAGCGATGTTCATGAACGACTAAAAACGAACGGCACAGCGATTAAAATTGCAAGAGAGACTACTAACAGTCAATAAAAAAAAAATGAAATTTGGTGAAACATTTAACGAGACAACAATTTTCATTCACGAAGAGTTGTAAGTATTAAAGTGGCTCTAAAAATCCTGAGCCTTCAAGCGTTAAGCTTGAGTTTATGTTTTAAGCCGGCTTCCCGCTGTTTGCTTTTTTCAAAGATGAACTCGAGGCAAGAAAATCGCTCAAAGCTTTCTTTTTACAGCCAAAATTATAACTTAATATTCTTCGGAACGGTTTATTTCTATTTGCAGTGGGAAAATGTCTAAAGCTTCTGTAAGCTTATATCAAACCTGATACTAAGTCAGATCATTGTCTTAAATCTTACAAACGTGCAAATTAGCCGCATAATTAACTACGCTCGACTTCACGAAATTAGATAAAGAAAAAACAAACACCAAATATATAATTACTCAGGTTTACCATTCAAGAAGGCCAGAATCGCTTGAGAGATTTCAACCCTCTTACTCATCAAGCGAGGTGAAAAACGAAAACTATGCCATCCGAAATCGGATTTCCGACTTTGACAAGCGACGCATTCCTCAACCAAAAACCTGCAAGAACTCACCTGTCAAATTTTGACCAATCAGAGCATAAAAATTGGACGTAGAGCGTGACTAACGCATCACCATGGTGAGAAAAGTCAAAGGCAACTGTCTTCCCTGCCTGTAATAGCTAGCTGAATTTTCGCGTCCGAGGTCAGTTTGAAATCAAAATTTTATGGTGCCGCACATTAACACAACATATTAACACAACAAATTTCATATGAATTTAAAAAAATTGAACTTAAGTCTGCGATCACTTGAAAACTAGTAACTTGTCAGCGGATTACTTCAAAAATACTTGACCTCAATCGGTGGACCCCTGAGCCCGCGATACAGAGTCAGGTGATGCTGGTCAGCGGATGCCCTGTTTTGACAGCTGTCAATTGATCACAACATGGATTTTCAATATCAAGTAGCAGGTTCCCAAACTAGCTAGTAAGTGTGAGATAAAATATGATTTCCCTGTGGTGCGGACGGAGGGTCCTACCCGATTCGGGCTGATTCAAAACTCTCTTCCCCCGCCCCCAAAGAACGTACGTACGCGCAGGTGTACGGTGACGCCATGACCAAATTTTCTCTGATGGATAGTTTACCAAATTTTCTTACCCAAGGTGCTCCGCTGCGCCAGAGCTCCGCTATAATCGTGATTATGTGGTTGATATCTTTTAAAGACAACTCATGTTGACTCAAACAAAAGTTGTCAATATCACTTCAATGACTAAAATGGACAACGTAGCGTTATTTGTACTCTACTGAGTGAAGTTGAATGATGAATAACTTTATTGTTTGTTATCACCCTTTCTTTGTTCGACTAGAAAGAACGCGCCTTAAAATCAACAAAGTTGCCTAGTTTGAACGTAACTTATCGAAAACTAACGAAGACATAGCTCTGCATAGTCGCCGAATTTTGCAGACGTTAATGTATGAAGGGGGCAAGTTCGTTTGTAAAATTTAGCGACATTGAAGAGAAATATCTTCGCTCTCTTTTAACGTATCACATTTAAACCTTGTAAACAAGTTCCTAATGTTAAGGCTCTATTTCCAGCAGTATCAATGGATATTCGCTAACTGGTCTTTACTAAAACTTGAAAAAAACTGAACCGTGGCAGGGTCTATTTAAGACAATATAATGAACCTTGCGAACAGACGAAATTAATGTAAATCATCATTAAATTGTTTTCCATTAATTTCATGTTTTATCCTTTTCTTTTATCCCTAGATAAAAACGGTTTTCGCGAATATAAGATGTTCCCTGTTTAGCAAGTACACCGCACAAACAAGGCTTACCTCCACTGCAGAATTGCCCTTGAATTACACAGAATGGCGTCATCGAAGTCCACAAGACGATAAGAACAAAAAACATAACGACTAAAGCACTTTGAACGTTTGAATAAAATGTCCTTTCTTTCTACTGTGGCAGAAATCTTCACTCCACTTTGTTGTACCAACTATGGTGTTAACGCCGTTATGGCGGCAAACAACAAGCAGCTGCTTCTGTATATCGATAATTTATTTGCGTTTCTCAGATTTTTGACCAATGAAAAGCCATAAAAAACAGAAACAGACACGGCGATATTTTCTTCCACCTCTGGCTTTGCTGCAGGAGAAATAACAAGCTTTTTTTCATAAAGGTGCACAGGGAAATGAGAAAGGGGAAATGAAAAATTTAGCTTAATACGTAAAATACCAAAGAATATCACTTTACTCTAACTTCTGTAAACTCAGCAACTTCAAGGGCAGCGAACAGACCAAGATGGCACCGAATAATTGGTGCATTAGCTGAAAATCAACAGTCCTAAAAACAGTGCCAAAAACAGTGGTTTGTAAAGTGATAGCCGTTCTAAAAACCACCAGTTTTTTTTGTACAATATGAAATGTGGTTATTCATGACTTTGTTTGTCTGTTATGTCGCTTTAGTATTCTGGCAGGACCAATTAATGACAAGTCTTGAAACCTCACGCAATGCACTGTATGGGCGAATCTTTGTTTACACTTTTTGCCTCATTAAAATATGCTTATCACTGTCTGATGACGCTAATAAAATAAAAACTCTGAATATTGAAAGGGCATAACAGTTTCAGTTATCTCTGAAAATTTGAGCCCAATTCACTGAATGGTTTCGGAGAAATTCTCTTCTAAAAACTCGAAATTATGGCTAATTAACTTTTTTGCCACACAGCAATTTCGCAGTTTTTGATGACTGATATTTCCTTCAATATTGCTCGCAAGGAGCTGAAAATTGCACAAATTGCCCAACTTTATCAGCTCTTTCGACTTTTGCATTTAATTCATATATACGGCCACGGCTTCTATGAGTTAAGTCGTATGCTAATGAGGAAAAATGTAAACAATGACGTCAGCAAAAAGCTACACTGAAAGCTTCTTTAGTTAACTGTTGACATACAACATAAAAAGCATAAAACTGAGACCGACTCAGCAAATTTTTTTTTAGGGTGATTTGGGGTGGAAGGAAAGTTATATTTTCAGAAAAGACTTTATGTTTAGTCTTTTCGTAAATGCGTTATTCTACCATCAATGACGTCACCGGTCTGAATAAAAGTGCCAATCAGCAGCCATCGCAAAATCGTTTTTTGTGCGTCCAAAAATCTAACTACAACCATTGCTTTTCTTTCGAAAAGAATTTACATCGAATCCTCTATATTCCTTTTGAAAAGCGAAAAAATGATAGGTTCCCTTTAGCTTTACTTAAAAGTTCTTGAATATGTTATTTTAATGCTCGGGAGTGCTTAATGGGTTTTTCGACCAATACAGTTAAAATTTAAATTATGCGTTAATTATTAGTCTTTAACAACAGTAGCTTTTTGACGACTTGCCAAATAAGAAGAATATACTGTTCAGTAAGGCTTTAGAGACTACGTGGGTTTTTTCGATCATTAGCACTGTTAAGTTATGTCTAGTTTATACAGTCTTAAATATTTATTTAAGTATGGCTGTTGCATCAATAAAAAGGGAACCTATCTATGACATCTTGCAAAATAAGGAGAATCAACTGTCCATATTAAAACTATTTAAAGTTTTTGGGACTTCGATGCAATTGAAAACTCTTCGGAATTGAATGAAACGCAAGACCAAATTCTTATCGGGATTTGCTTATACGTGGTTATTGTGTCCATCTGACTGTTAGCAAACTCAGTATTAACGCATTAGTAAAAGGAATCACCTGCTTTGGAATCGGTCTGTGGCAAGAACCCAACTTTAATTGCCCCACCGCCTAAAACAATGGGATGGGTGGCTCGGGTTAGTTCAAATTTCAAACTTAAGTTTCTTAGCAAACGTTCTAAAAATGATTCAAAGAAAATTGTTGGTGCGTTTTTGAGACCTGAAAATAACGCTGTGTTCAAATCGATTTTTTTTGCCAGAGATTCTTCTAGTTATATGTAGTTCAGTTGAAAAAAATCTTTGAGCACCTTCTTTCAAGTAGGTTGAATCAAGAAATGTCCTTTTTTACAATATCAGTTCTACGCATCATGGTTTAAGTCATCTGCCGGCGAGTTATGTGTTTTTTTAGGTACCAGCCGGCGTAACAAATAAAAGCTTGCCGAGTAAGGGAGGGGTGGGTGGTTACTTGTGTAGGTGAATCAGAGAAACTCCCTTCTAGTTCCTGCGTCAAGAAAAGGAATCATTGACAATAAACAATGCTCCTAATTCAACGGTTTTATTCACAGTTGCTGAGGTACAATTTGCCTGTCAATGCGGTGAGGAGGGAAGAGAGAATGCTGTATTCGGGGGCAAAAATAATACATTAATTGCGGAATGCTATTCCACAAGAATCTTCCAATAACGCAGGGGGAGAATCTTCTGAGATGAGTTCGTAATGGGGACATAACTATTTGATTAGATAATGCACTGCGGGTATAATTGTGATTATGTAGCTCAGATACTAGTGAAACAGGTATATTAGAGAACTTTTCACGGTAGAAATAATCAAAAAAAGCATACATGTGTTCAGTTTAACAGTATCAGGAAATTTCAAAAGGCTAAGGGATACGTAGTGTGGAGTTTTTGATTCCATTAATTAAAAGGAACATCATTTATATTACGAACCGCTTTGTTTTGTAATTTTACGACTTGAGACAGAGGAGCATTTATTTATAATTATTTTCTCATAGTGTACAAGCATAAGTATGGTAAGGATATATTGTGACGGAAAGTTTTTCCACTTTTGAACGATTTGAACACTCAACGGGAACTAGGCGCTTTAACTCTCGATTAAGGGTGGGGGGAAACTAGACTCAATTGCAACTCGCTGGCGGGAAAGGGCCGTCACTTCTCTTGAGGTATCAAACCACTAACTGGTACAGCAAAGGCAAACTGAACTTTGGTTCCAACAGCGTTTATTCTTGTACACGTAGCGTACCTTAGCTCAGAAAATGTAATCCGCGATGTAATCAGCTCTGAAATCCGCAATGTAATGAGCAATGTAATCAGCTCTGAAATACTCGATCTAATGGGCAACGTAATCGAAAAATCAGTTCAAAGCAACTTACTTATATATGATTTGAATAACCATTGAAAACAAGAGAGTACAATTTATATGTAAACAGAAATCATTTACTATAGAAGTAAATGAAAATCAAATAAAAGAGATAGTCATAGCTTATTATAGACTGTTCACAGTCCTCTATTTTTCCGTAAGATCATCGAGATCGAGCACTTTGCGTTACGGGCTGCCATATTGCATGAGTTTCAAAACCACTTAGGGGACGGGGGCGGTTTGGGAGGAAGCGAGAAAAATATAGGGACTGTAATAACATCACCGCAGCTAGCGTTCAGGAGGCGTGACAGGAATTTCACGCCTTTTACCATTCATTAATTAAGAAACTCCGCTGGTCATGAAAAACATGCCAGACACGTTTAGCATCGATTACGCGTGTTTACAAATATCTCCTTTCGACACAGTGATTTTATAATGTTTCTGGGCCATTCCTCGAAATAAAATCTGCAAACATGCACAAGAAAACATTTTCCTAATTAATCAAAATACCAAAAATCCTTCGTGTGTTTGCGCAAGATGTGCCTTATGGTATGAAAGCGTACTTTTTATGGAAAAGTCGACTTGTCAATATCGGCAACTTAAACTAAACCCGTTGTCAACGCAAATTAACATCTATTGTGTAATGACCAATCAAACGCCTGCGTTGCTGGTACAACGCGCTCCGTGAACGCGAGTTGCAGTGATGTTATTACAGTCCCTCTATTTTTCTCCCCCCCCTCCTCTAGCTATAATCCCCGACGTCCGCCCCCTCGGTACATTTGAAAATCAAGATACCCGTGACGGTAAGACGCGGTATATCTAAACGATCTGACGGAAAAATAGGGGACTGTGAACAGTCTAAGCTTATTATTGTTGCTATTTTTAAAAAGTAAAAGTACTGGAACAAAAGCTAGCTACGTTTGCTGTAAGGTCAGCAACACAGTACAGCGTTTATGCACAGTGTATTTTACAAAATATGAATGAAATTGCAAGACAAGCTAGCGTTTGTTCAAATAGGAAGAAACGCGGACTAATTAATAGTTCTCTAGTTTTAAAGGAAAACAAATATGTTTCGAATTTGCAAGTCAGCAAAACCTTTCATATTCCAAACTCATCTTTTGCCACTATTTAGCCAACAGACTAAAGAACGTTAAATTTGCAAATACATATAAGTATTATCCAGTTAAAACGAGGTACATCTGTAAAAAGGTGCAAATGTGAACGGAGCCGTCGTGCAGAATAAAAAGAAAGCTTAAATTAAAAGATAAACTTAAGTTAGTGGACATTATTCTGAAAACTAATGATTTTTTCTAAAAGTCAACAATTGAAGTTAAACGTATCCGGTTGAAAAGAGTCAGTGGCAAATAGTTTTGACAGCTGTAAACACTGTTGGCTTTTTCTACAATTATTACCTTGCGAACACAAAGCAAATGAAACAAAGGACAATAAAATGGCACGAACCTTTTTGCGGAGCTAAAACCTCTTTATGCAAATTCAGTAGTATGAATTACTAAAAACAACGTCAAAGCGACTATTTGAAAGCTATATATGAAATTCGAGGCAAATAAAGAATTCATGGAAAATCTCTCCTTACAATATAAGAGAATAATACAAACTAATAAGTGTTGCTTTTGAGACATGATGCTTTCACTTAACCATTAGATCTATATTTTTTAAGTCATTATATTACTGACAGAAAAATATTAAAAAGGAGAATCCCGGGAAATGCTGAAGACCAAATAAAGCTATACAGTTTTAATTAATATGTGTCCAGAGGATAAGCTTTGGCTTTCCCAAACAGCGACTGGCAATCAAGCCTCCGTTTGAACCCAGGAGTCATTTCAAAATGGATTTTAAAAGTGGATTGAGCATGATCGTCCGCCGGGTGATCGTAGTCTTGTTGTTGACAATAGAGACCTTTAGATTCGAGGACGACAATGACTACGAGTACGAGATTTGACTTGAAGTTTTTTCGCGTATTCTCAAAATATAGACTTCCCGAAAAGCTTCATTTTACCGTTTTTCACTAGAAAAGTTAGCACTGTTACCTTTAGTGAAGGAGGTTACGCGCTTTCCCCATCGCAAAATGATAAAACTTCTAACATTTGATAACTTGTTTTCGCCACCACGACATTCGCGCTAAAACTCGTAGTAGAATGACGACGGCTACCGCGTTTTCCCGCCAAAATGACGCTGGTTCACGCGCGTGCACTACTTAGTGTTGAGAAAATCTCGTACTCGTAGTCGTACTCGTCTTAGAATCTAAAGGTCTCTAATAGGGACATTAAGCAACAACGAAGGCGACGGCTACGAAAACGTCACTGAAAAAGTGAAGTTGCTCTGCCTCAAACCTTATCTCGCGTATTCCATGTCAAATGATGGCAATTGTTTTTGGAGCTGACTCAAGGACTGTATGAAAGTTCAGGAAAAAAAGAGGTACAAAAGAGCCTGATGCACGTGCAAAGTTGTTACTTTGCCAATCTAAACACATTGCTTTTTTTGCTGTTCTCGTTGCCGTCGCCGTACACATCAAACATCAGTCTTCAAAGATTATCTGCGGGCAGCAAACTATAAGGAGCAATGGAGGCTGACTTAGCCAACGATTTTAATCTTAGTTTCTCACTGTCTTTCATTTCTAATGTATTATGGTTAAGTGTAATTCAATCTAGAAATAGTCTATTGTTTATCCACATAAAGGAACAGGATCTAGAGTTTAGTTAAGCTAGCTTTCGTTTGGCACCAAGGTAAATAAACCCAGATAAGTTTCTTCTTACAGCACCAAAATATATCCCATTGCCTTAATATGCTTTTCGCCATTATCTGAATTACGTGTAGCCTCGTTTCCACATGAGTTGCTGTTGTCAGGAGTTCCTCCAGTGCCAAACCCAAATCTAGAGTCACAGGTCTTGCAATTATTTTCATTGTTACCAGTGATACCGATTCTTGCTTTAGAGTTGTGAGAATTATCACTAGCAGCATTGAACCCTTCCCTGTTACAGTTTTTCTGCAAGGAGGCATTAGAATCAATCAGTGACTTCCACTTGTCACGACCCAGTGAGGTGTTGCGGTATTGCCCATCAGCGATCAGAGAGTGCAAGGAATTCGCCTGCTTGTTGATGACAATAAACTTGATCTGCTGGCCGATCTTCATACCGAGGCAGATCTTGGAGAAGGATGTGTTCCAGTAGGAGGGAAGTTTGGTCTCTTGTGTGTCAAACCCAGTCTTCCCTCCGTCAAGTTTGAAGGTTTCTTTGTTGCTCCAGAGAGTGGAGTTGTAGAGAAAAGTTTGCTGTGGTAGAAAGGAGGAAGAAATAGAAAAAATTTAATTGTCCTTTAAAAAGAAAAGCTCACAGGTTTCTTTTTTCTTCTAAAGACAACATCCTTTCCGGAAAAGAAAAATAAAAGGAATTTGCAATGAACGAACAATTACAGTGAAAAGAATATCTACAACGTCCTTGTTTCTCCAGATTTATAAAATGAAATTAGTCACAGCAGGCGAAATGGCGTTAATGGTCACCGATAGAATAAAAAGTAAACAAATACTGCGCTCTTTAATCATTGATGCGATTGAAAAATGCCGAATTGAATATAATTATCCTAATTAAACTCTCGCGTATTCGCTAGTACAGAGACCAGGCTTCCGTGTTTTGATGAAAACCTTCACATCGTCTGACAGGAAGGGCGGTTGACCTCTGCTACTGACCGAGATATTCCAGAAGCCTACGTATCAAGAAAAGCGACCTGAATTCGAGAACAATGGGAATCGTTCCTTATTGTTATTTTTGACCGTTTCTTGCCTTGTAAGGGCAAAAACGATCAACGTGAAACAACAGCTTTCACGGGCGGGAAATTTCAACATTTCCTGTAACTTCTTTACGATAACGCTTGAATTTTCGGCGCGACCGAAGTAAGGAGCAATTTCAACCCAAGTAGTAGGTAAGAGTTACAGTATTCAGGACGAAACATATGACGCAGTGGTGGTAGTTTGAGGTAAGTGCTGAACAGACGAGTTTACCGGCCAGTTGCATTCTTAGGTTTTATTTCGACCTTAGCCTAGTGCGAGCAACTTTTACGCAAAACATGCTCATGTTGCTCGTTAATGATTACTGTAAGGAACTAAAATATGGGCTCGAATAGAAGCGGCTGAGAACTTAATTCAGTTTTGATTGATCGCATACGCTTTGGTTGTGATCTTTTATACACTAGTTATTCTGTTTCCGAGGTGGCAACATTCAAATTTCACGTTAGAGAACTTTGAATCTACGTGCAAGTGGGGTTTATATTTTACAGTCATTCATTGAACACGGATTGACTTCCTACTAGAATTAAACTCACACATTATTCACGTATTGAAAAGCGCAATAAACAACACAAGGTGTTCTTAATACTTAAATCTTTCAGATCCAGGGACTTATCATGAACGCACGAGAAGAAATGGTAGAGCGCCGAAGGCGCCTCAAATCTGGAGTGCTGGGGTTATGCTCCCCTAGAAAATTTTGCAATTTGACGTCATTAGTATGAAATTTCTGTCGCTGAGGTGCAGAGGTTCCTCCTGATGAAACGTCCCTAACAACGAGGAGCAAGGAGAAACGGCTGTATTCGCAAGCTAGGATAATTGAAAATTACGGCTAACAGAGGCAAACCTGTATTTAATTATTAATAACACATTTTTTTCGCCAAACTAAGGGAAAACGTACACAAATGTCTTACCTTATTGCCGTCCATTTTCATGACCGGTGTCCATCCTCCATCTCCGCATCCAAAATGTCCAAAGTGACAGAGAACTGAAACTAGTTTGGAGTCAAGGAGGAGAGTGACCAACTGAGTCACGTTCAACCTGTACAAAATGAATCTCATTTTAGTTTTTCCAGCTCCTAACTGTCGGAGAGAAAAAATGGAATGTACCTTAACTGGTTGTAAAAAAAAAAGGTTCGCTTTTTCTTACAAAAATAAATGAATCAATGGAATTCAATACAGTCTTAGTTAAATCTAAATTTCTCAGGTTCCCCATCATGTTACTGCGAGTTACTACACGATTAATGTACTTTGGACTGATATAATTTCACCTGCAGCACAGGTTGATATTTATTTTTGCTGCTTTATGGACACTGGTAACCACTGGCTACCTATATGGCTGCCACTGCCTATTTCCTTGTCACAATCACGTACTAACTGCATACAATGAACCCTGTTCAAATAATTACAGGTTTCTGAGGGTTAATACGATTTTGTTACTAAAAAAAGAAACTGCAAAATAGCGCGCAAGTTTGATTTTGATAAGGCAGTCTTTCTTCCCATTGACCCTTGTATTGTCTGAGCTAATTTTAAAATGCCTGTAACAAGCCACTCCACCCCTCAACCGCCAAAAGGGATGGAATGGTATACGAGAGGAGTACCTTTTCTGTCAAAAATGGTATGTGGAAAGGTAAGGACATGGACCTTGGAGCAGGGCTTCCCCGTATAAAACTTTCTTGAGTACCCCCTGGGGATAAAATGCCTGTAACAAGCCACCCCACCCCTCAACCGCCAAAAGGGATGGAATGGTATGCGAAAGGAGTACTTTTTCTGTCAAACATGGTATGTGGAAAGGTATGGACATGGACCTCGGGGCAGGGCTTCCCCGTATAAAACTTTCTTGAGTACCCCATGCGGATAAAATGCCTGCAGCAAGCCACTCGGACCCTCAACCATTAGAGATGAATGGAATTGTCCACTCCAGAAAATACCATAACATACCATAATGCTCTTTGTTTGTCACCCCAAAATTTTGCATAAGCATTGTTTTCAGTTTCTCTAGGGAGTTAAAATGGCCCCAAGAGAAACTGAAAACAATGCTTATGCAAAATTTTGGGGTGACAAACAAAGAGCATTATGGTATGTTATGGTATTTTCTGGAGTGGTCAATGGTATACGAAAGGAGTACTTAATCTGCAAATAGTTAGACCTAGGGCAGAGCTTCCCCGTATAAAACTTTATTGAGGACCTCCCGGGAGAGTTTACGATAAGTATTATATATAAGTTTGTAACTCGGGACACAGAAAAGTGTTCGTTTTCCATATTAACCAGGTTTACTTATGAGCACTGAAATATTTGAACTTTTTGTCGGTACAAACGAACCATTCGTTTTATACGGGTGTTCGTATTAAGCGAAAGCGGGTGGGGTTCCACTGTATTTCATCAACAACATTTTTTGCCGGAGGGCCTTTAGTGAAGGATGGTCCGGTGGTGTTCACAGATTATGGTTTTTATTATCTGAACAGTACCAATCATTTGTTTTAAAAATTCAACAGTTTTTACGAGTTAGGTCTCTACTAATAACCTTAAGTATCCAGAGTGGAGAACAAAGGCTGAAATAGAAGCCATCAGCCACGATACAAATTCTAACAATTAATTAAGTGATATCGACTTTCTCTGCAACACAAATTGTATTCCGCTTTTGAGGCTTGACGGCTGATTTTTTGGCTCTTAAACACCGTACTGACGCACTCCAAATGATCCCCCGGACCTTAACTGATCTATCCTCATCAATTAAATTACTATGTATAGGTTTACTCACTTTTCTGTGAGCTGATTATAAACGTCTTGGCATGAGGACTTGGCAACTGAAAAAAAAAGAAGTAGATAACGTAATAATTCAATCAGTAAAAGAAAGAAATAAAACCTATTTTTTAGAGAAAATACAAATTTTGAAAAACATGGCTGTCAAAACTCGGTTGCCATGGTAACATCAATGCTGACTTACACGTCACAACGCCTTTAAAATTTTCCTAGATAACTGTTAGGTAAAGCCGCTAACTTTGGTTGTCCTAACTTGAACGGGGGCCCCGGTCTGAATATCAATTACCTTTTTCGCAAAATTCTCCATAAAACCCTTCTTTGCAACGGCAGTCAAAGGAGTGATACTTGTAGTTCGCTACACAGGTGCCTCCGTTCTGACACGGGTGATGACATACATGGAGTCTAAAATAATTTTAAAAAAAGGTTGATGTCAAATGCCGTATAGTTAAGGTAATTTTGTTTTGCGTTAAAGATTGCAGAAGTAAGAAAAAAATGAGAAAGTGACATTCGACTGAATAACCCCAACTTGTTATCTTGCAGTAGTCACTTTTACGTCGATTCGTATTCGTAAAAATATCTTACTTTAATCAACTCTATGCAAAGATTTTACCCCACCTTGATGGAAAAGTGATGAAAACTCTCGTTCCTTTTATATTCCTCAGGACAGCTGTACTTTTCTGAGGATAACAACTCACACCGCAACTTTCCATCTGCTCCTTTGTAAGCTGCCAGGTTGAAGGACAAACAGGAAGGATTGCCGAGGCATTCAAAGGTGCAGTCAAGGCTGTCATACACTGTGAATGTTCCAACTTTAGGAACGTTTAAATAATGGTACTCTTCCTTTATAAAAACATCTTGACGAAGGTTGTGATGATACATGGTGGTGAATTCTGAAGAATCATTAATCAAAGAAAGAATGGTTTTGAAATTTACCTTTTTAGAATGCATGGGTCGTGAATATAAGGTATCTCTTAATTTAGGGAGTTCCTGACTTTAAGAATGGCTTTTAAAATTGAACGCGTTATGTGAACTGGAATTCAAAAACCTTAGCTGAAAGTAAAGCCTAGAGAAGTAAAGCCTAGGTCAGGAGAGTATAAGAAAAATGGGAATTATCATCTTCATGAAATTAGAGATTTTTCTGGTAGTCCACTGCTGTTATTTATTTATGACTTTTAATGTCGTGCCATAACTGGGACCATTATGGCTTTTTCTCCTTAAGAATTCTGCTCCAAGAAAATTTACAAGGTACATCAGCGTTTAACAAATTGACAAATCATAATTTTGTGTGCTACCAAAACTGATTAAAAAAGAAAACATAGTTTACATCCACAGTCCTCACTTAGATCGGGCAAAATTTAAGGAGCTCTTATACATTCTCTCCTAACGCAGTCACCGGAATTTTTAGTTACCAAAGTCTTATGTTACATACAAAGCACAAGAACTCATGTCGGTCTATGTCCTTCTATATAAATAAAAGAAAACTAACCTTCCATTTGAGCAAAAGCCGCATTAGGTATCACGGAAAACAATGGAATGAGGGGCAACGAGCAAAAGTAAAAAGAGAACATCGCCGATAGGTGAGGAGACTCTTGG